AACTGTGCTCCTTCTTCCAGTGGGTTCTGAAGTACATTTCACAAAGCTTCACTGAAAGACTGAGTGGTGTTCACGTAGAGAGATGTTAACACACTCCCACATTGACTCCCTGCTTTCTCTGTTTCTTTCCTCCTCCGCCTCACCCTGCTCCCTGGGATCATGTTCCCAAATAAACTACTCATGCTTAAGCCTTTGTCTCAGGCCCCATGTAAGACCCGATCCTACATGAAGAATTTAACAGCAACAACATCACACCAGGGGCAGAGCAGGGGTTCACACCCCAGCAAGCTTCTCCACTCGCTTCCATGTTGCCTCTCAAAGATCCCAACCTCTAGAGGACATTTAAAGGCACAGGCCTAGATGGAATCTAACCATCTAACCAGCAGAGACTGTAAACAAGAAAAAAGTCCCCACACCACGCTCACATTTAGAGATCAAGAAGAGGAGGTGCCAGCGAAGGAGCCAGAGAAAGAGCTGCCATCGGGGTAGGAGGAAGCCAGACCAGTGTGGAGTCCTGGACTCCAAGAAAAGATAGCGCTGCAAGGAGGAGCGAGTGCCCTACTGTGCAAACGCTGCTGAGAAATTGAGGAGGTGAGACCAGGAGACAGACCTTTTGGATGCGCCAATAGGAGGTCACTGGTGACTTGGACAAGGGCAGTTTCAGTGGAGTGACAGAAAAAAAGCTTGGCTGGTGCAGGCTAGGAGGGAGTGGAGGTGAGGATTCGGAGAGGTAGCCAGCAGGGACAACCAGTTCAAGGAGGAGTGCGTAAAAGGGAGGAGGAAGTGGAGCAGAAGCTGAAGCGGGTTTAGGGTCAAGGAAGAGTTTGTTTTGAAAATGAGAGCGATCATAGTGCGTTTATGTGCTGAAGGGAATGGTCTGGTAGAGAGAAGGAGCTGGATAGTGCAGGAGGGAGAAAGATGATTTCAGGCAAAGTCTTGAGTAAGTGAAGAAATGTGGTGCACAAAATGAAGGGATTGGCCAGGGATGCAAGAGGAGGCCATCCCTCCATCCATCCGTCCATATATCCATCTGTCCATCTGTCTGTCCATCCATCCGTCTGTTTGTCCGTCCATCTGTCCACCCATCCACCCATCCATCCATCCATCCATCTGTCCTTCCATCGATCCATCTATCCACCCATCCATCCATCCACCCATCCATCCATCTATCTATCCATGCATGCATCCATTGTGAGAAAGAAAGGCACCAGCAGGCGCAGATGCAGGCACCTTGGGAGATCTGACAGTGAGAGGCAGGTACATTCCAGCTGATGGCATTTAGTTTCTCAGCAAAATAAGAAGCAAGATCTTTAACAGCGAGAAGCTAAGGGAAGGTGTTGAGGGTTAGAGAAGATGTGAAACACTCATCTGGAGAGTGGCGCAGTGAATTTAATAGAGAAATATAGTAGGATGACTGGGCAAGCTGAGTGCTCACTTCAAGTTTGTGGTCAGAAGCGTCCAGTGCGGCTACTCAGGATGACTGTGAGTTTCCTCAGCAATGCTTGGCTACTCAGTGCAGGTGCGGGGTGTTGGGTTTAAGCAGGGTGGAGGCTGTGTCAGGAGATTCCAATTGAAGGCAAAGGAGCAAGAGAGGAGGGGGCTTCCGCAAATGGGTGATTCTTGTCAGGACCTACAGAATCCAGCTGGAGAAGGGGGTTGAAGGCAGTGAAAGAGGACAAGTTCAAAGGCGGAGAGTTTCCACAGGGGACACATCATTGAATGGAGGTAATAGAGTAGATGAGCTGAGAACCCAGGAAGGGTGGTCAGGGAGCAGGGGGTTCAGAAGTGCTGAGGCAAAACCCTTGCCATGGGAGTGGAAGGCAGAGGCAGCGGAACGAGAGGTGGAGAGTGAGGAGGCCAAAGACCAAGAGTGGGAGGTGCTGGGTGGACATCTACATGGACGATCTTTCTTGTCCACCATCTCTTAAACAGCTCCCCCATCCTGCCACTACCCCTTCATCTGCCTTTTCCTTTCATGGCCCCTCTGCCTAACATTATTTTACATAGGACTGGTTCATTGGTTAATTATCCTTGCTGCCATCAGAATGTAAGCATCTGAGGGCAGGGACATTTTCTCTCTGGTCTACACCTATAAACTCTATTCTAAGAACAGTACCTGGCACATATTACATGCTCAGAAACATGTGCTGGACAAAAGAATGAATGTTAAGGTCTAGGAAAAGCATGGAGGAGTGATGGTGGAGAGGAAGACCATGGACCAGGTACTAAAATCTGTGAATGAGCAGGAGTGGCCTAGAGTATGGTAAATACTAGAAGGGATGGCGGCTGGTCTGGTCTGATGGCATAGCTGCAAAGGAGATGCAGACTTAGGGTGAGCAGGAAGGGGAAGAAACCTACAGGTGGCCATGAAAGCAAGGAGAACAACTCGCCGCCTCCAGGCATACTGGTGTGAGGGATGTGGAAGAAGAAAAAAGATCCAAGACAGGAGGTGGCTGCAAGGAAGCTGTGTCTGGGGGTCAGGCAGGTTTCCAGTAGAACAGGACGGTGAAAGGAATGTTCAAAGGGAAAGTCAAGTGTATGGGGAGATTTTGCTGATGACAAACCATAAGTTCCCTAGAGCAGAGTGAAAGAATCTGGGGGATTGGGTCAAATTAGGGGAACAGAGCTATATGGGCGTGAAAGTCTTGGGGATGAAGGATGACCAAGAGTGTCAGGCTTCTGGAGGTGTCTAGGGACACAAGGCCACAGGGCATGATGGGCTCTCCTGAAGGTCTCTCTCGGGCAGGTGGGTACTCCTGCTCATGCCGGCTCCTCCACCAGCCAGGGCCCATGGGCGGTGGACCACAGTGAGGCAGTGATGTTGGCGTTGGAGGGGACTTGCCAGACACTGAGTGTTCGGGGTGGGAGGAGAGGGCAGCTTTGGGTACTGGAAGGAAAGCCAAGCACGCACTCCAGAGACTAGATTGTCATCCCAATCTTTCCTACAAACCATGATGTAACATTGGGCAAAATGAGCATGATTTCCCTTATCTACAAAATGGAGAGGAGAGGAGGTCTCTTTTAGCTCTGCAAATCCGAGCCTCTGTCTCCTCCTTTCCTTGACTTCTTCTAGCTCCTGTGTCCTCAGCCCTCCCAACTTGTAGCTAAGCCCTGGCTTTGTATTAACCACCCTCCTTCTGTCAGCATCGCTGAGAGGCATAGCCAAGGCCTGCCCTCTTCCTCCTCAATGGCTGCAAAATGCTGCTTGCACTGTCCCATACCACTCTGATCCTTAGCAGCCAAGTGGGCAGGCTGACACTCGTTTGGGCATGGAAGTGAACATCAGCCATGAGTAGGGAGAGGAAACTGCCCACAGAGAGGGCAGACTCCATCAGGGGCAAGTGACAAAGCCACAGACTGACATGAAGAGGCTTCCCAGGCCCTCTGGAAGGGAGCGAAGCCAGCAGCCTGGCTCCTGGGATGGGCTGTCCGCTATTCAGCAGCTCCATGGGCCTGGAAGTGAGCCCAGGGAGCCAGCCAGAAGGAGGCTGTGGCCAGAGGCTTGATTTGCAGCCTGGGACTAGGATGCAGGGAGCCGGGTTCTCATCCAGGCTTCACCCATAGCAAATGTGTGACTCTCCCTGGCCCTCTGGGCAGGGACTATAATAACTACCTTGCTTACCCCGGTTGCTGGAGGCCAATATTCACTGAGCATTCATCGTGAGTCAGGCATTCAGTAATCCTCACAATGGCCCTAGAAATTAGCCTCTACTATTTTCACGCTTTAGGGAGGAGGTGACACATAGAACATCTAAGTAACTTGCCTAACACTCCATAGCTTATAAGTAAGTGGCAGGGCCAGGATCTTAGCCCTAAATCATACATTGGAAATGTATTATCATTGAGGTCCCTCAGCAATCTTGTGATGCAGGTATTACCATCCATTTTACAAACACGGCAATGGCTCAGAAGTCTTCAGTTATTTGCCCAGGGTCACTTGGCTGACTGTAGCAGAATCAGGATTTGAACCCAGGCCCGACTTCAAAGCCAGTCCTCTTCTCACTGGGTTGCACCCCCAGCATCAGCACAGGGACAGTTCCTCAGGCTGACTGGCCAAGGCCCCATCTGTGAAAACAGGATAGGAAACGGCAGCCTAACTCCAGGCAGGGCGCAGGCTCAGCGAAGGGGTCTACAGGGCTGAAGAGGCAGCTGGCCAGAGATCCACAGGAAGCATTTTGTTGACACATCTTCATCACTCTGGAATTTGAGCAACAACATTTACCCCTTCTGAAACTCACCCAGAGGAAGTGGATTTTCTGACGCAGATGAAGAGTGAGAACTGTCTACATTTAAGTCTTCTTTGAGAACAATACCAGCTGAGTGGCTCTTTACATTCCGGCTTCTTTTGAGAATCTCTGAAGATGATTAACTCATTGTCAGCTGGTAGGAGTTGGTCTCACTACTTCTCATGTTGGATCATTGAGGCAAGAATCCTTCAAAGAATCCTTTTTGGGTATCTTTTAGTGAGGAAAAAAGTGGGGATGAAGATATGTAAGGCACTGCTTGCCAGAAGTCGTAGGGTGTGAAGGGGAAGTGTGCAGAGTTCTAGAGCCTTTCTTCACCTGGGGGATGTGCACTGGCGATGTGTGTACTTGGCTGTGAAGGCCCAAATTTAGGACAGGGAGTTAGAACCACCCACATTGAAAATCTAAGGGCCTTTTCATCTTGCAGCCTCACCAGACTCCCACCAATACACAAATACTGTAGTACAAATACTATGCTCAGTAAATGTCAGTCTGCCTCACAAACGGTTCAGGGAAGGCTTTGAGGAGGAAAAAGGTGGAATTGCACCTGGGCCTTCGGGGGAATTTGGGAGGCGCAGAGATGGGAAAAGGAACAAGACTGGGAGAACAGCATGAGCAGCGCACGTGGTGCACTGTGGGAGTGTGTCGTGGGAGATGAGATCAGACAGCTTCAGAGTCTGGAGTCCTTTACTCCAGGGACCTGGTGACCACGTGGTGATCTGCATCTCCTGTTCTCTACACCTTGACTTCTCTTAGGCCCGGAACCATATCCTGCTCCACAAGCTTCATCCTTGGCAAGGAGTTGCACCTGCCCAGAGAGAAAACCTTTTGAAACTGGCACAAAGGCACTGGAGAGACTGGCAAGGCCCCCCACTTGACGATCTGGCTTATCCGTCTGCACACTGACCATGCTAAGAGCTGTCTGCAGTGTTGGAAAACTTCTCTAGCTGTGCTGTCCTCTATAGTGGCACCAGCTGCCTGTGGCTTCTGAGCACTTAAACTGTGGCTGCAGAGACTATGTTAAATTGTATTTAATCATAATTAATTTAATTTTAGTTTCTGTACTGGGCAGGGCAGGTGCACATTTCCTGCCTGGCCACGGACAGTAAGCTCCATAGGAGGCTGATTGTGCCTGGTTTGCTTATAGGCTTATCCTCAGCACCTGCACCAGTCTAGAATATGATTGGCACTCTATTAATTAAAAGTTCCCAGGTAAATGAATTAGTGGATTCTCTGTTTCCTCCACTATGCTACAACCTCCTTAAGGGCAGAGATGGTGTCTTCAAAAAAAAAAAAAAAAACATTCTGGACAAAAACACATAAGATCTACCACCTTCACCACTGTTAAGAGTCCAGGTCAGTAGTATTAACTACACTCACATTGTGATACAACAAAAGATTGTGTCTTTTTACATTCTTAGGGCCCAGCACAGTGTCTGGCACATAATCTTAGTAAACACTGGAAGATCACATGCTGTTGCCAAGGCCAGAACAGAGGTCAGTGACATCCATTACCGCCCTTTCACACATCCACTGGGGCTTTAAAAACGACCTTGAATGAAAGCTCTTGAGTCTACAGAAATGGGCTACAAAAAAGGTTTACAAGATAATCTATTAAGAGTAGGGAATACAGGCTGGGCATGGTGGCTCACACCTGTAATCCCAGCACTTTGGGAGGCTGAGGTGCATGGATCACTTGAGGTCAGGAGTTCGAGACCAGACTGGCCAATGTGGTGAAACCCTGTCTCTACCAAAAGTTATTCAGGCATGGTGGTGCATGCCTGTAGTCCCAGCTACTTGGGAGGCTGAGGCATGAGCATCACTTGAACCTGGGAGGCAGAAGTTGCAGGGAGCCGAGATGGCGCCACTGCACCCAGCCTGGGCAACAGAGCAAGACTCCGTCTCAAAAAAAGAAAAAAGAAAAAAAATCTAAAGTAAATCTCAATACACATGACATATGGATTGACAGTCACACATAAATATGATTGACAAGGACACAAATATTTGGAGGTGCTGCCTGTCCATCTTTTGCTGATTATGTGGAGATCACTTGCCTAGAACCCTGAGATAGACTGATGTTTCTAACTCTGCCGAACCGGGTCTCTCCCAGCCTCCAGTCACTTTCTTCCTTCAGTTCAGGGAACCCTCAATACCCAGTAAGAATGAAGAAGTTGCAGGTCTGAGCTTGAGGAGGCCTGAACTAAAGGGAGATTAGCACTGCCAGGGCATTCTGAGGACTGTGAAGAACTGGAATATTGGCCACAGGCATCTACGTATTTGAATCATATCCATTTTTTAGCTCACTCCTAGCACAGGAGTCAAAACTTATGTTCTGGCCGCCAGGTACATTTCCAGTCTCTTACTCATAAGGTTGTGACATACCACCAGGGGTGCCCAAAGGAGTTTGTGAATCAAGATAGTTTGAGGAGAATCCATTTTCTGATCCTCAGTTTTTCTATGCTCTTTTTCCTAAAAGCAATCTTCCTAAAAAGGCATCTAAGACAAGGCATCCCCTTCCCCATTTGCTGGGGAAGACAGACTTACAAGAGAAAGCTGCCCCTCTCACCCGTGGGACCCCCCACTCTGGGGCACTGCCCTAGGGGTAGAAATCTCCAAGTCATCAAACAAAGTGACTCCTGGGGGTCAAGTGACAGAGGAGCAAAGTCTTTCTGCAAGTCAAGTGGCTTCCAGCTCTGCTTTCAGCAAAATTGAAAGAGGCACTAATCAAATTGTCAGCGGATCATAAAAAACATTTTGATAATAATGTTATTAGGCATATAACTTGGAAGAAGTTCAAAGAATTGAATGACATTCTCATAACTCATTGGCTTCCATTTATTTATTTCCGTGGACGGTGTTTCTCCATGTTTAAACCTACAAAAAACTAAACATGGGAATAAAATTCATGTTGAACCTTGTGTGGGTCTAGCAATAAGTCATCCACATATACATACACTAATTGAGAAGGAAACCTGTCTCAGGCCCCAACAATTTTATTACGAGATGCATTTCCAGCTGGGCGCGGTGGCTCACGCCTATAATCCCAGCACTTTGGGAGGCCAAGGCAAGCAGATCAACTAAGGTTAAGAGTTCGAGACCAGCCTGACCAACATGGAGAAGCCCCGTCTCTACTAAAAATACAAAATTAGCCGGACGTGGTGGCGCACACCTATAATCCCAGCTACTGGGGAGGCTGAGGCAGGAGAATCGCTTGAACCCGGGAGGCGGAGGTTGCGCAGAGCAGAGATGGTGTATTGCACTCCAGCCTGGGTAACAACTCCATCTCAAAAAAAGAAAGAGATGCATTTCCAATAAAAATTTACCTTTTATGTTTAATAGTTGTTTATCAAATTTCATAATTATTTACATTGCTCTGATCAATTGGGTATAAACTATTCTAACACCAAAATCATAACAAAAATTAATGCTCAGCTTTGGGAACAGAGGAATTTTTTTTTTTTTTGAGACAGAGTCTCGCTCTGTCACCCGGGCTGGAGTGCAGTGGCGCAATTTCGGCTCACTGCAATCTCTGCCTCCTGGGTTCAAGCAATTCTCCTGCCTCAGCTTCCTGAGTAGCTGGGACTACAAGCGTGTGCCACTACGCCTAGCTAATTTTTGAATTTTTAGTGGAGACCGGGTTTCACCATGTTGGCCAGGATGGTCTTGATCTCTTGACCCTGTGATCTGCCCACCTCGGCCTCCCAAAGTGCTGGGATTACAGGCGTGAGCCACCATGCCTAGCCAATAAAAGATTTTCAAGCATAAAAAATAAATACAGGCTGGGTGCTGTGGCTCACACCTGTAATCTCAACACTTCAGGAGGCTGAGGTGGGCAGATCATTTGAGCCTAGGAATTGGAGACCAAACCAGCCTGGGCAATATGGTGAAACTGTGTTTCTACAAACAATACAAAAATTAGCCCAGCATAGTGGTACAGGCCTATAGTTCCAGCTGCTCAGAAGGCCGAGGTGGGGGAATCACCTGAGCCCAGGAGGTCGAGGCTGCAGTGAATCAGGATGACACCACTGCAGTGAATCAGGATGACACCACTGCACTCCAGCATGAGCAACGCAGCAAAACCCTGTCAAAAATAAAAATAAAAAACCTTACATTAGCATAAAATCTGTAACAGGAGTAGAATGGAAATACAAGTTCTTGGAGAGAACAGAATAATGTAAACTTCTAAGCTGTTTAATTAGAGTTTGTTCTCCTATTTTTTTAAATGGATAATGTTGGACACAGAATTGCTCTGACATTCAGATTCCACTGGACATTTACAAGAAAGATACAATTTTTGTTTGAAAATGTCAATATTCATTTTTCTTTGAATTTTCTTGACTATAAAATATAATAAAGGCATATAGAAAGTGAAAAAATATTCAAAAAGTGCTTAAAAGGATATCCTTTGGAACTATACAAATTTGTGATGGAAAATTTCAAATGCCAACTTACATACAAGAGGGGAGGTCATATAAAAATTATTTAAGGGGCTTTGAAGGCAGCTGTCTGGGGAGTTAAGGTCTTGTTTCTCCTGTGCCCTCTCTCACCCCTGAGGTACCGGGTGGGCCTCTGGAGGTGCATCTGCCTATACAGGGAATCTTTGATGTAGCAAAACACACACACACACACACACACACACAAAAAACACAAAAAACCCTCACAGCGTGGGCTGCCCTTGGGCTCTGGAAACCACCATCCTTCCTGCCCCACTCCTGCTCTCAGCCCCCTCCTCAGGCCTAAGCCTCCCCAGCCCTCCCCACCCCCACTCCACTGCCCCAGCAGTCCACCCCGCTGTCACCTCCCAGCCCTGGCCCGGCCAGCCCTGGAGTAAATAAACCACTGGGCAGGGACCCAGACAATGGGCCTTGGCAAGGAGTTAATGGGCTGGGCCTCTTGCGTTAGCCGAGTGTGACCGGAGCTGGCAGGGGGCCTGGCCTGGCGCCAGCATCGATTACGACCAGACGGAGCCAGGGCAGACTTGGCACGAACAGGCCCCACAGCTGGCAGATTCAGTCACCCTGGCCACAAGGGCACGAGGCCTGCCCTGGGCGCCGGCTGCCACCGCGGCTGTGCTCCCTGCCACCGCCTTTGCTGCCAGTGTGGCAGGGCTGCTTGTCAGGCACTCAGCCCCTGGGCCCTGACTTCTGGTCCTCCCCAGGGGACTGTCCCTGGTCAGGCCTCTTCCTGTCCCAGGCTGCCTCTGAGGCTGCGCTGTGGCCCCACAGACTGGGTGCGGAGCAGGGGTGGGGTAGTGGGGAGGCTGAGGGTTGGGCTGGGGGATGCGTCTGTGACCGCCGCCCCCTCCGGCCCCTCCAGGACAGAGGGAGGCTACTGAGTCGGCTGGTGCTGGTCAGCAGGAAGAGCAGGTGAAGCAAGCCTCATTTCTGGTGTCCAGATGGAGGACAGGGCCTTTCTTTCCCTGTGCCTCGGAAAGCTTCGTGGGCCTGGGCTCTGCTCCGGCTCAGCAGCTCCACCCTGCAGGGGGGTTGGCAGGTGGCAGGGACCACCTGGGGGCTCGCTTCGTCCCTGCTGAGAAGCTGTTCCAGTTAGGCTCTGCAAGCGGGACTGGCCTGGGGGAAAGGACGTTTCTTGCTTCGTGGGTTCACTGCTCCTCCCAGGCTCTCTGGGTCCCTGTCCCCTGGGCGACGGGCTGTGGCATAACGTCCTCAGGGCAGGCAACGGCTCCATCTGGAGCTGAGGAGCTCCACGGACCCACAGTCTGGCTGAGCAAAGGTTTCTTTGGCTTGACCGCTGGCAGACAGATCATTCCACTGGGCAGAGTCTCCACATTTTAGGGGATGGTCAGTATCTCTCTCCCCTGAGAGCTCCAGAAAACCCCACAGAGGAGAGAAAACACCAGGCCACATACCCAGAGTGACAGCCCCTGCTCTCTGAGGTCACAGGTGGAGAGCAGGGGAGGTCAGGCCCTGAAGGCTGTGGCTGCTGGAGCCAGCTCCACCAGGCCTGATAATCCCTGCAGATGAAGCCGGCGCCCGTCTCAGTAGGCAGGGGTGATCCCCACCCAACCCCACTTCCCCGGGCAGGAAGCTGACACAAGGGTGAGAAGGCACTGGAAATGCGGGAGAGCAGAGGAACGGCAGCTGGGGCTCTCACCTTGGCACTAGCTTCTGTGCCTGCCCTCAGTTTCCCTTGTCCCCCTCTGGAAGCTCTCGGATCTTTACTTTTTTGTGAGCTCTGTTCTCAGAGAAAGTTCTAATACG